AAAAACATTGGTATACAGACCAGTATGAAAGTTCTCATCCTGTGATTTAACTAGCTGTACTTCTTAATCAGGCTGTTGTGGCTTGGTTTCTTTAAAGTAAAATAGGACATTAATGTCTAACTCTCAGGTGGTTAGGGAAGTTAAGTGAGGTAGCTGGCAGAAACATAGGACTCTGTGAGGTCCTCTCTTATCTCCCACCCCAGATTACTAACAGTTAGCTCCCTCTATATGAGCCCTTGTGTCGACCATTTTGTCTGGCTTTAATTGTTCTTTTGGTTATACTTGTAAAACCATCCTGTAAGTAGTACAAAGATTATCCTTTTTTTTAAAAAGCATTTTGTGCTGTCTTCGCTGGCTGCTTAACCTTATGTCTAGACCACAGGAAAGCAGCAATCTTAGGCATATGGATGTTTTCAGTAAACACTTATTGAGCTGGAAAAAAAAAAAAAAAACAACATAATACCAAACTAGCTGGTATTTAGCATCAGGCTGACTTTCTTTGTTAGCCTGAAGAAGATGGCTGGATTTTTGTTGATGGAAGATAGATGCACGACTTTTTAAAGAAGAACCCCCTCACCCCAGGGCTTGTTGTAGAATTTAAATTAGGCAAAACTTGAATTCAAGCTTCCTGCTCTGAGACCCTGATAGATGGTGTATTAGTTTACTATGGCTGCTAGAACAAAGTCCCACAAACATGGTGGCTCACACAACATGAATTTATTATCTCGCAATTCTGGAGGCTAAAAGTGAGATCAAGGTGTTGGCAGATTTGGTTTCTTCTAAGGCATCTCTTTGCCTTGTAGATGATGGTCTTTTTGGTGTCTTCACATGGTCTTCCCTCTCTCTGTGTCCCAGTTCCCCCTTCTGTAAGGACAGTGGTCATATATTGAATCAGGGTCCACCCATATGACTTTGCTTTAACTTAGGTACTCTTTTATAAGCCCCTGTCTCCAAATGCAGGCACATTTTGAGGTATTGAGCATTAGGACTTCAACGTAAGAATTTGAAATGTGGAAAGCAAAGTTCAGCTCACAAAAGGATGCAATGTGAGAATCTAGCACAGTGTTCTTTTTCACATGAATGATACTTAGAGCTGGGAAAAATCTAAATGAAGAATACTTGTTCTGATTTCAGAAATCATAGTATTTTGTTCTGATTTCTGTAACAGCACTTACTAAGACCTAGTATAATGTTTTACTTTGTATTATCCTTAGGCTGTGTAGATGAACCTTACTGTTTAACACATATTTTTCTCACCTTTGAATATTCAGTACTTAGTATGTGTTGTGAAATGATTGTTGAATTGATACAGGTGATTTGTCTGTCTTTGAACACAGTCACAATTTTATTTACCCCCAAAGGAGATAAATCTGTCTATCCCATAGTCACCTATAAAGATTGAAGGCATATTTTAATACCTCAACACTTTTGGGCTGAACTCCTTCAGATGTCCAAATTCTTCTGCTAAAATTATATATTTGTGCAGCATCTTTATTAAACAAAGATATTATTGCCACTATTTGCTGAGTTGTTTGTTCTTTTGCCAATTATTATTGATCTCCAGTCTTGATTATTCTTTGGGGGAACATAGGCATAATTTCTTTAGATATTTCACAACTGAATTTGGTAACTAAAATATTTCAATTAATGTTATGAAAGACAAGTTAGCCCAATATTAATAAATACATATTTTGAGATTTGTGTACTCATGTTAGAATTAACATTTCAGTTTTCGAAATGAAAGATAGGCCTAGGTTTGGGAAGAGCTGTTTTCTGAAAGTGTCCCATTATGCACAAACATGTAAATATGTTTCACAAATACTACCAAGTAAATTAAGATAATTAGAAATGGGGCTGTCAAACAATTTTTATGTGTGTTGGCAATTTTGGTTTCAAAATGTTACTTATGATGTATAATCAGTTTGGTGAATACTTAAACATTATTTCAGTAAAAGACGGATTGTCATTAATCCCCTTCAAAATACTTGCCTCCTACACTTCAAGCACACTTGTCCATTGTTCTTAACACTTTTTGAAAGTTCTAAAGGTTCTATGACTGTCTTTAGTGGTGCTGCCCTGCCTGCCTTGATGTCCTTAATCAATTTGAAACAATTACGTTTCATAATCATTTTGACTTTAAGGAAGAGCCACAAGTCACATGGTGCCAGATCTGATGAATAAGGTGGATGAGGACACACTATAATATTTTTATGAGTCTGCCTTTTGTTATGTGGCACTTGGCAGCAGCATTTACTGTATTTTTGATCCTACCTCATAAAGATACTCATAAATGAGGACTTCCAGAACTGCTTTGAAAAGTGTCAAGAATGATGGGGTAATGTGTCTTGTCATAATTTTTAAAAAATTACATATTAACCATGTATTTTGATTACACCTCAATTTTCTAACTAGAAATCTGTTTTGGTTGATCGTGAGAAGGGTGGAGGAAGGGAAGGAGAAAGAGGGAGAGAAAGGGAGAAAGAGAGAGAGCGGCAATTTATACTGCAGACTGACATTTACTAAATTTTCTGAGTAGTACAGATGTTCTTAGAGAACTAAAAAGGCAGTCTTTTAAGCTCCTTCATTTTTGTAGCCCTGCTCCTCATTGGATGTGTTTTCTTTTTAAATGCTTTTTGATGAATCTTTTTAAAGTCAAATTATATGAGAAAATAGTGACAATTTTTACTGTAATGACTGCTGTTGAAAGTGCAAGGTGATCTTCATAACTTAATGGGAGCCTTGTTCTTATTTTATTGAAGTACATGTGGTGGGTTGATTATTGTAAGTTTTACACTCACTGAAATAAGAAAGGTTGTATACCTCTTAAAAATAAATGTTTTCATGGATCTTTGAAGGTTCTGTGAAAGTCTCTTGAAAGAGAAACATCTGGACTATGTATTATGCATTTTTTTAGTAGCTATTTGTAGGTGGAGAAGGAAAGAAGATGCTACAATAGTGCATGTGCCTGGTGAAAACAATACATTGATCATATTTATACTAAAATTACATAGTATGCTACCAAACAGCATATTCATGTTCTGCATTTTAGACAAAAAAAGAAGGTACTTTGCAGATAATTGTCAGTATATCATGATTTTAAACCCTGTTTCACATATATTTGTAAGTTAGCAGTGGTATACTAGTAAATTGGTTAATGTGATTAGCTTAACCAAGTCTCAGAGGAGTAACTTTTATTGAAGAATACTGAAAGATTATATCCTGAGCTTCCATGGAGACTATGATTCTGAATCTTAATTTTAAGGTGTTAATATTGTTTTATTAAATGAAATATTAACATAGTAGAGACTTCTATGTTAGTAGGTTTCTTGAAAAAAGAAAGACTGGGGCTGGGAATTTAGCTCAGCGGCACAGTGCCTGCCTGGCAAGCGCAAGGTCGTGAGTTCGATTCCTGGTACCAGAAAAAAAAAAACAAAAAAACAAAACAAAAAAAAGAAAGATTTTTGTTTTCTTAACCTAAAGATTAATGGCTGTTAAAACTCAAGCTAAATTTATCTTGCACACTAAAGTATAGACTAAACATTTGTAGACTTGCCAATTTGGCTTAAGTAGTATTTTTAAAACTGAAGCTAAGCAGGGTTTTTGTTTTTTTTTGTTGTTGTTGTTTATACATGATTAAATCATTTTTTTTTTTTTTTGGCCTATAATCAGCCTCCTGGTGTGTAATGAGAAATCCATTTCAAATATACAGGACTGGATTTTTATTTCTTAAAAGTAAAACTTCCTGTCAGAGTATATGCCTGATTGTTTTAAATACTGGATTAGACCTATTATTATTGTGTCTTTTTATGAGCCTGGTGCTGGCTTTAAATTTACTTTTTTGTTTTGTTTTGTTTCTTTGGTGCTAAGGGTGGAAACTAGAGCCTTGTGCATGCTAGCCAAGTGCTCTACCACTGAGCTCAGGTACCCTGACTCAGATCCCATTCTACTAGTTTTCTCAGTCCTATAGTTTTTTGAGGTCCTTGAAGCCTTTGCCAATTCTGCTTTAGATTTCAAAGCAGAGAGCGTGATGTTGGTGATGGGAGGCCATAAATATTGGCGTTGCAGTGCCTCAGTTGCTTGCTTTGGGTGAATCTGAAAACATTTAGAGAAACTATGGATAGAATGTTGATTGGCTTACTCTCATATAATAGGTTGCCCTTCCTAGGTCTTCCATCTCAACACTTGTGATGTTACACAGCTTGGGAACAGCGTCCATCTTGATTTAGGAGTGCTCAAGTGTCAGCCTTCATTTCATCCATTCTCATCCTTGGTTCCAGATTTTAAATGCGAGCTTCTGACGAAAATGCTTACTTTGTTTCCGAAAGCCTTTATGATGTTTGAATTGTGTGTGTTAAAAAAGGAATGGGGCAGAATGTTGTCAGATAAATCTAAAAGCCCAGCCAGGGAAATATGCTTACAAGGCCCAGAAAGCCTCTTTCTGGAAAACTATTGAGCTAATGATTATTTTCAGTCACTCACTCCTAACATCAATTTAAGCACACATTAAATGCTCTTGTAGGGGATATAGCTCAGTGGTACAAGTGCCTGCCTGGCAAGCACAAGGCCCTGAGTTTGATTCCCAGTACCAAAAAAAAAAAAAAAATGCCCTTGTGTCTAATCAAGTATTTAAAACAATCAGGCATATACTCAGATAGGAAGTTTTATATTTTAAAAATAAAAACCCAAGCCAGTGAAAGTGTTATGACAAAAATAAGATTTATTATCGGACAGTTGCATGTCCAAAATAGTTTTGTGGAATCAAAATCAGATGGTGGTTACATATTTCATTTTTGTGAATTTTAATAGTTAAATGTCATCACTTCTAGAACCCTTTTCAGAATTCACCTGAACTGGTTGAATTACAGAAAAAAAATGTAACATTATTTTTTCAACGGAGAAAAGAAAATTAAAACTAAGGGAAAGTTATTAATGCTGTATATATTTATAGTTTGTTTGCCGATAGTGCTTGCTACATTCTCTCCTTTTGCTTTTGTCTTCAGGTGATTGAAGACAGTACTGGAGTCCGCCGGGTGGTAGTCACACCGCAGTCTCCAGAATGTTATCCTCCAAGCTACCCCTCAGCCATGTCTCCCACCCATCACCTTCCCCCCTACCTGGCCCATCACCCCCATTTCATCCATAACTCCCATACGGCTTACTATCCTCCAGTTACTGGGCCTGGAGATATGCCACCTCAGTTTTTTCCTCAGCACCACCTTCCTCCTACAATATACAGTGAGCAAGGTAAGTAAATCATTGGTAGTGAAACTGATTGTAATACTTAGATAGCTCATGCACTCCCTTTTTGTTTCTTTTATAATAATATGTAGTAGACAGGTTCTCTGGTATAAAACTCCTGGGAAGTTCCTAGCTTGCTTTGTCTTGAATTGTGTCTTGAAGGATTACTTTGTGGGTTGCAGCCTTCTGTCTCAGTTTCCCCAAATTCCACCCTCCTCCTCCGGCTCCTCAGAGACCGAGGAGTGGAATAACCACTTTATGTTTGAGAAGAGAGGCTGTGATCTAGTCCACATTCCTATGTCCTCTTCACATGTGTTTATGTAGGAGCGGCCTGAAGCAGGACTGTGGGACATTATTTCTTTGGCATTGGTATGGCCCAGCAGTAAAAGGGAAATTGAAGTCTTCTGTGTCCTATTTCCAATGTTAGAAGATTATAAAATTTCAATATCCTTTGGGTTTCCTGGAAGATCTATCTTGGCAGAACCCAGAAATCCTCTCACTGTTGCGATGACCCTCCTGAACCTGTTTTTAGTTTGAGACTAGACATTAATTAGTGCAGCCGCAGTTTCACTGGTTGTACCTTGCAATGGAAAGAGCCTGAGGGCTGCCGAAAATATGTCTTTTTAAAGTTTTACTCTTGGTCCTGGTTTAAACGAAAGCCTTTCTCTGTCAAAATGGATGCTGAGAAACCAGATAATCAAAGGAAAAACTAGACTTTAGACTCTTGGACTTTGCACAGTGATAGTTTTCCGAGTCTGACTATGAATTGGAGCATTTTACTACTTTAAACATTCATTACGTTGGTTCAGATAATTGTATGTGAAATCCCTGTTACACTATAGAGTTTTTTTTTTTTTTTTTTTAAACAAGGTATCACCTTGCTTTCTCGTGCCTATATCAAGTCCCTTGTCAGTATTTTCCTTGCATATTCATTTCACATTGCAGTTTTTTCTTATTAACAAAAGAAAAATTTGAGATGAGTATTTTAAGTGAAATATCTTAGTGTAACTTAGGGATAGAGTTTGGGCTTTTTTAGTAGCCATAAAGGAATATAGCATAATTCAAAATAATCACCTATTTTTATAGCAGGTTGTGAGTAAATGATACCAAACATCAAATCAGTAAAAACCATAGCATTCTTAGTAATTTGATGTTTTTGGCTGGTCATACATATAATAAATAAATAAACCAAGTAGTAAGCTTACCGTCTGAAAATAACATTTAGATAAAAACTGAAAAAAAATTTAGTTAACTTTTAAAAAAGCACTCAGTGCTTTGATACACTATGCACTAAATATTTAAGCAGTTGTCCGACTCTGGCTGTATCTGAACTGTAATGATGCAGGAAGAGCCACAGTGCCTGACTTGTCCCCCGATAAGTCACATGTGCACTGCCTTATTTTAACACTTTGTTTGTGGGATGCCACTCAGTGACTGTTTTGTAAATGGTCTCCTTTGCAGTTTTAGGGGAGGTAACATTAGATTTAAATCACCATTACAATTCAATAAAAAAATTTAGCCTTTATTTCATGGCATATTTTGATTAATTTCATTAAAATAACGTAGAACTATAATGTACAAATAAAGTGGCTTCCTTTCAAATTAAAATCAGAAATTCTCTTTCACTCTCAGAAGTATTTAGAATTAGGTAGTAGTTTATATGGTTGGTTAGTCCATACATAAGAGACCTTTTTATCCTTATAAAGATATAGGACCCAATTTCTTTGTTATGCAATGTCATTTTTATTGATGCCTTAAATGATTTCAAACTGACTTACAAATTTAGGTTTAATCTGCATCTTTACCATCCTAGACCATAAGATTTAATTGTACACATTTGAGACCACAAAAGAGACTTTTTGAGACCACAGCTTCTTACCTTTGGCACTAGATTACAGAGGTTGCCTATGTTTCCCCTACATTTTCTCCTAAATAATTCCCTTGCTTTTGCATGTTTGATTTTTATTTTTATAATTTTTTTTTTTGTACCAGGAATCGAACTTAGGACCTTGTGCTTGCCAGGCCTGTTGGATTATTTTTGTTGGCAACTTCTCACTTCATTGTTTTAGTAATCTTCAAATATTAGCTCTTTTGAATGCCACAAATACCTCTTTATATTATGGTTGCTATGTGCTTTCCAATAGAAATGCTATTCTGTCTACAAGGATAAGTAGACTTTTAAGTATCTTGATTATAAGTACATATTCACAGTGGTATTTTGTTTTATTTCTTCCTAGTATTCCAACGACTAAAAACATTTTCACTGACAAAAATCCCACTCAGTGAACTGTTTAAGGACAATCTTATTTTCATTTTTCTCTATATTTTGTGAAAGATCTCTAAACATTGTATTTTTAAAAATAATTGATTATTTCTTGGTTGGTTAGAAACAATATTTTACATATAGCATTTTTCAAAAATATTTTTTATAATTTTATTAGTGTTTTATAATTCATTCTTCAGTCTCAGGTCATTTGACCCTTGAATAATTTTTTATTGAAAACATGGACTGAGCTTGTTGTTTGCCACATTCATCTGTTTCAGAAATAATACCACTGTATGGAATGTCTAGCTACATTACCCGGGAAGACCAGTACAGCAAGCCTCCGCACAAAAAACTCAAAGATCGCCAGATTGACCGCCAGAACCGCCTGAACAGCCCTCCTTCCTCCATCTACAAAAGCAACTGCACCACGGTGTACAACGGATACGGGAAGGGGCATGGTGGAGGAGGCGGTGGAGGTGGGGGCGGAGGCAGTGGTGGTGGGCCTGGAATCAAGAAAACAGAGCGGCGAGCAAGAAGCAGCCCAAAGTCGAATGATTCAGATTTGCAAGGTAAAGCTCGTGACTTTTGCCATAGTGAGATATGGAGGCAGGGACAGTCTAGAGGAACCATCTGTTACATAAGAACATTCATTCATAGGGTGCATTTTTCCTCTAGGAATGATTGGGTGTACCTCTCTGATCTGTTTCTTAGTAAGGAACAACTATTATATCATTTATTTTTTACTAATACTTCATGGTAGAAATACTACTTTCTTGTCACGGATGCCATGTAACTTTCTACGTAGTGAGTGACAAGTGTCTAAAGTGTTTTCTCATTCTCCTTTTTCTGTTTCACTTTAAGTAGGCAGATACAGAAGAAATCCAAAGTAGAGCAATTTTTCTAATAGTGTGGGGGTGGTTTAAGTCTCAAAATAATTATACTAATAAACCAGATGAAATTATGTCTGTGCTGTAGTAAAATCTATCATTGCATAACAGGAATCTATTTTTATTTAATTTCAAACATCAAAAAGTATTCAAAGGTCAAATAACCTGACCTTGAAGAAAGAAGTCTAAAATACTAATAAACACATCAGTTGTGGTTTAACGCTACCTTTGGCATTCTGATTGAAGTATTCATAGGCTGAGAATGAGATGGAAGAAGGAAGCTCACTGTGTATAGAGTGAGATATCAGTTGAAAAGGGCATGTTCTTTTATGTATTAATTTAGCTGAGGATATAGATCAGTGGGTTTGAGGAGGAAGATACTTGTGTGTTTGGTACTGAGTATCAAACTTAAGGCCTGTGGCATGCTAAGCAAGTATTCTACTATTGAGCTACATCCTTGGCTCTTGGGTGACATTTAGAGGCAACTTATTTTAATGCCACAAGAGGAAAAAATCAGACTTTTTATATAGGCATATAGAAAACTGATTGAAGCGAAGCAAAAACAAGACAACATTTTTATAAAGTGCATGAGTTTACACATACAAATTACTGGAGAAAAAGGTGGAACAACTGTCAAAGACATGATTATGACACTCATTAAAGTCAGTGATTCCTCATTGTGCTTCATCTAGGTAGTAACAGAATGTACCTGTAAAAATGTGTTTGTGAATGAAAAAGAGATGGAAGTTTTGGATGTGTGTTTATCAAGGGAAGATAAGCCTCTGACGGTGCAGGAGATTTGGCAAAACCACACACTGTCAATAAGTCTGTGTTATTTATAATGAGTGAATTTAGGATGCGAAAGAGGAAGGGTAAGACACACTGAAATGTGATTGTATTATAAACTTTTTCAGTTTTGTTCTTTTTTTTTTTTTTTTTTTTTTTTTTTTTTTTTTTGGTCTTTTTGAGACAGGGTCTCACTATGCAGTTCAGGCTAGCCTTGAGCTCACTTTGTAGCCCAGGCTGGTCTTGAACTCGCAACAATCCTCCTGCCTCAACCTACCAAGTACTGGGATTATAGGCGTGCGCCACCACGCCTGGCTCAGTTTTGTTCTTTATTGTTTTCTGTATCTTTCATTCTTTTGGCAGTTATTCTTAAAATTATTAAATAAAATATAAACAAGTATGTAAAAGAGCTCAGGGTTCAGCCTCTTAAAGGATGGTGTTCTGTCATATATATAAGGTGCCTAGTGTTCAATCAATTTTAGTGAAATGATGCTACAATTTCTAAGTTTGGAATCATTTTAAGAAAATATATTTTGATTAACACATATTTGTACATAGTTGTGAGGTAAAGTATGTTATTTTGAGTCATGTATATAGTGGGTGGTTTATTAGCAGTATTCTGGTTTAGCCATGAGTGTATAAGAAAATTCACACCAAAAAGTTAAGATATAAACCTGCCTATGGTGACCACATCGGCTGCGTTTGTTAATGCATGTTAATCTCAGCAGTCTGGTTGCTGATGCAACTTGGTGTGGAGATCCTGTTTTCATTTCCCAGCACTGCCACAGGAAGCCGAACAGAAGTATAAGTTGTCCGAGAGCTTATGAAGTTCGAAGTATTTTGACCTCTTGTTCTTTCCTAATTTTTGCCCCACTTACACCAAAGATGTACAGTAGATGACATAGGTATAAACAAAAGAAGTAGGTAAAATAAATCTAAATGAGACCCAAGGGGCAAAAAGAGAATGAGGGTAACAGAAAAGATGAAGCAGCATTGAAGTTAGCACAAAAATTAATGAAGTTATGGCTTAAATTTGGCAAAAACAAGTACTTTTCTTACATGTGCAGCTCTTTCATAACTCATATACACAAACATGTTATCTGCTCTATATTTTTATATTCTCCCAGTTGTAGGTGAATGCTGGGGTTTGCATTAAAATCTATACTGAAATACTTGCTTAACATACATAGATATATTTATAAGCATTTTAGTGGAAGAGAACATGTAATTACTGTGAACACTTTAAGTTCTTTGGTGGTGTGTAGAAAGCATGTTATTTTGTTGAATAATAATGATATCACAACCTGAGAGTTGTGGTGCATGCCTGCAGTGACAGCTCTCAGGAGGCTGGGGCAGGAGGATCACTGTGAATTTGAGGCCAGTCTGGGCTACAAAGTGAGTTCAAGGCTAACCTGAACTGCATACTGAAACCCTGACTCAGAAAGGCCCCCCAAAAACAGAGAGAGAGAGAGATCACTTTTGCTGTGGGCTTCTGGGAACAGATGTGAGGAGAAACACGCTTAGTCCAAACATGGTCTCTTGCTCCTTTTTTCATCGCATTGTCTGCCTTCTCAAAATCACTGAAAATTCTGTTGTGAACATGTTTAACCGTGAAAACAAAGAATCAGATGGGATATGTTATGCATTCCACTCATGTCAATAAAGGCTAAGCGTGTTTATATGTTGGATTAAAAAAAAATCTGTTTACCCAAATAGTTGAAAACTACTATCCCCACAACCCATCACTCAGTTTTGCTATGAACCTAAAACTGCTCAAAAAATCATCTCATTTGTTCTCAGTTTGTCGAGGTTTGCATACAAGGATGCTTTAGAGCTGCTTGTTGTGGGCCATATTTTTGGTTTTGAGCCTCCTAGTTGTCAAAGCAAGGAAGGAAACATTCATTAGGGTGAGCAGGCAAACAGGAAAGCATCTCGTGTTCTTGGGGGTCTGTTGTGTTGCTTGTGAATGCTACATGTCTGCTTCAGAATGTGGTTGTTAGTTCAGAGGGTCCCCAGAGGGTTCTTTCTGCTTTCTTTTGTTGTTTTTGTTTTTGTTTTTGTTTTTGTTTTTTGGTACTGGGAATTGAACTCACGACCTCATGCTTGCCAGGCAGGCACTTGCATCACTGAGTTATATCCCTGACCCCTGCTTTCTTTTGTGAATGAAAACATTCTCCCATTAGATCTTTTGGCTTGAGTTTATTGCATCTTTGGTAACCAGAAAGTAAGCTTCTTAAATAATTCTTAGGTTCACAATACCACGTGATTAATATTAAATCATAGTTAACAGTAATGTGATTTACCTATTCACATATATGCACTTTGCATAAGAATAACACATGTGCTTAACCATGATGTGGCTTGTGGCGTTTCTACTCTGCATTTCCAAAAAAATTAGTTGTTTTCCTTCATAATTTCCTCACTTTTGAAGAAATCTACTTGTTATGTACCTTTTTGCTGTTTATCATGTACATACAAATGCTTTTTAAAAAAGGGAACGAAATTTGTACCTGGTCTTGTGATAAAACTAAGGACATATAAAAGAAGTAAAAATTTTATGTTAATATAAACAGACATATTAAAAGAATGGAGAAAATAAAGTACTCTTGGATCCTTGTGCCCTCAATGAACTGCTTCTGAAATGCTGATGGAACTTGAAACCATAGAGATCTCTGGACCTCATTTCAGGCCTCTGACATCAGAATCTTCTCACTAGTTTTGGCTTTTTTTTTGTTTTGTTTTTTTTTAACCTACACCTACATTGCAGGAAATGGTTGGCCAGGATAGAAAATATGCTTATGTTAAGGGTCACCTCAGAAGATATGGTTAACAAGTTTTACACCACATGGGATAGGAGCTTTGTATGTATTACTCACCACTCTCATTCTCCTTCTTGTGCTATGCCTGGTACATAATAGGTATTTGGTATGTATTTGTGAAATGAGTTCTGTATTCCTAATTGCTTTGTTTTCTAGAATACGGTTTCTGTTTGGACACATGCTGCTGTAATGCCATTTCCTCTTCCTGGAACAAATTGCTCAAGGATTGCTGTGTAGTTCACCCCTCCTGTCTCTTACTGTTAACTTCAGGAAAACAGCTCACATAACAAAGTTGATGGCATACTCAAGAGAAATACAGGATTCCTGTTTCCTTGGAGCCAATGACACAATGTGGAGAGAGAAAGTATGGAGCTTTGGTATCAGACACACTTGGTTTAGAATCAGACTTTGTCACTTGCTAATTATTTACATTTGGCATTCTTTAAATCTTTATAGTCCCATCTATACAATGGTGATTTTAATTCCCACTAGTAAATATTACAAATAACCTAGCTCAGTTCTTGACATCTAAGGTATAGTATCTTAATCTTGCTGTCTCCTTCATTTTCAGAATTCCTAGTTTGTAGAATTACCACTTATCCAAGAGATCCTCTTCTCTAAACAGCTGTCTCTGTTCCTTTCTCTTTCCTTCATGATCTGACATCCTCCCGCTCAAGTTCCTTCTCTTGTAAGCTTCCTTTATCTCACCCTGTCTAACACTGTTAAACGTTACTCTGAGCTCTTGAGCCACTGCCTCTGAGGTTGCTTCCAGGCTTTCCTGAGAGAGGCTGCAATTGGGGTACATATGCATACCATACCCTTGGGGGTTGCTCTGATTCATACTTCACAAGTGTGGCTAGATTCACACTTCTCCTGGCCTTATTGTGGGACACTTAAACTCTAAATGAGAAGATGGGCACAGCCTTCTAAGATTTCATTTGTCCTGGATTCTGACCCTAGTGCCTTTACATAGGTTCCTCGTAAGCTACAGTTATGACTCCCTTTGCTCAGCCTGATCTTTAAGGTGAGCCTTCATGATTTCAGATGCCTAAGCACCCATTTTCTTCACCATCCCAT